GGGCTTTCACATGTACTGTATATAAGTGAGTTTGTCAAACGTACGGGTCACATGATTCTAAATATGACCATAGCCACATCTTTAACAACCAGTAGCGGTAGCATATTAATATTGCTTTGTATTTGCCACATAATTCGGTTTAAAAAATTTTCACAATAAAACTGCATAGCTCTTCCGATAGTAACACCGTGAAATATTGTAATGCTATTGTGTTAAAACAAGATATTTCATAGTAAAATAAAGTTGGTGTTTCATTATTCACTTTTATTTTAAAGTGATCTTATTTTTGAAAAAATCATTTAAACATTAAGGTTTAAATTGAATTCACTAGCCGATTAATGTTTATTAATTATAGTTCATTTTCAAGATTTCATGAATTTCCTTTAACATTTTTGAATAGTATAATTTTTCAATGACAAAATAAAATACACTTCTACAATATCTCATCCAACGGGATCTTTTATAGTATAGATGAGCATATCAAATTATTATAAAATTCTAATATATAAAAACTAGTTATTTTGAATTAATTTAAACTTTAATCTTTATCATAATCCTAACTATTTATAAATTTGTATAAATTTGTTCAAAATAGCTAATTTCTATATAATAATTTTCTAATAATAATATATGCCAACCTATACTATAGATCAACCCAATTTCGATATGGTTGAAGTAAATATCACCACCAGAGATTTGAAAGTAGCGGATAAGAGGTAAAAATTTATACCCCCTTTTGACATCAATTTCGTACAAAAGGACATTTAATTTAATATAAAATGACATTCAATTTCATACAAAGTGACATTCAATTTTGTACAAAGAGACATTTAAATTCGTACAAAGTAACTTTCAAATCTGTACAAAATAACAATTAAAGTAAGGTTTATTAAATCGTGATATCTCGTGATTTAGTAATCCAATTTTAATGATTTTGGTACAATTCGAATTTTCTCCATAAGGCGATTCGAATGATACCAAAATCATCTAAACTAGATTACTAGATCACAAGATATCACGATTTAATCAACCTTATTTTAATTGCTATTTTGTACAAATTTGAATGTCACTTTGTATGAATTTAAATGCCACTTTGTACAAAATTGAATGTCATTTTATACGAAATTAAATGTCCTTTTGTGCGAAATTGATGTCAAAAAGGGTAAAATAGATATTAATGCTAAAATATTTTCATTGAATCAATTTTCAGGATTGAGCGATAAACAGGGATTCTGTGCGATATCCATTCGATAATGTAATTCCAAATTTTAACTTTATTTTATAAATAGTTTCGTTCAATCAACGAACTCAACGTGATTTCTTGAAAAGATGCAAAATCTTTGGATTTAAAAACTTTATTTGGATACTTTACCAACATATCATCACATCATTTTTGTAGCATAAAAAGTTTGTTATTCTGGAACTTTCTTGAGAAATGTAAACAAAGTATGTGTGTGTTTGATTCAATTAAAAAGGTTCCAAGATACAGTATTTAGCCAACTCTTCAAGGATAAGTTAATGTGCAACAAGCATTATCTCAAAATAAATGTTCAAAGATTTCCATTAAAGTTATTCTTCTATAAACATATCTTTATCTTTATTATGTTAAGAAATGTCGCGGCTGATGCTGAAATTTGGGGCCCGATTTAAAATATAAGTTCTGCCAAAATCCACATATACACTTTAAATATCAAATCTAGCCCTAACTTAACTCTAAAAAAAAAAAAAACCATCCCAAAAAATTCCAAATTTCATATAAAAATAGTCGACACTTATTAGGATTTTTTTAATTGACGCAAATTATTTATGCTGATTAGTGTGCCACTAATCCGGCACACATTCAAGAATTGCCTACCCGGGTGGCATTTTTTTTAGGCTGGTCCGATTACTAATAACGATAATATTAGTTATCGTTGTGGCAAAAGCAAAAATAGCAAAGCCGTGTTTGGTGTTGTAAGCTACATGACTTTAGTCGGCTGGCTAAGCCAGCCGACTAAGACATCAGTTAAGCGGCTGGCTAACAACCGACTAATAGTCTACTTTTTGGAATACTTCGGAAGTTTCTCAAAGTATTTTATGTTTATTCATTTTCCTTCTCGAAATTTATCGTAATCCTACTATTCATAAATCATGTGACCTCTAGCCGAATAGCCAACCGATGATATTATTTCGGCTGCCCTAGTCGGCTTGCAACATTATCTGTGTTTCACAAAATCAAAGATCGCCGTATAAATGCGCTAAAAAATCTTGTACATTTCACGTGACGAATGTTCTGAAAATAAATGAATTTGTATTAGACAAACGCAAATAAATTTTTCTATTCCTAATTAAATTCCATGTTTCCATAAGTGTGAAACAAATAGTTTGGGAATGTTTTAGAAGTAAATTTTTATGATTTATGCAATTATCAAATTTATTTCATGTTATTCTGCTCGTTTAAAAATTAATTGAATACGAAATTTAGTTTATAAGAAGTATGTCGTAATTTATCGTGTGCATATTATAATTTATCGTACGCATATCATAATTTACCATATGCATATCTTTAACGTTTTTCCATTCTTGATTTGGTTTCAAAAAGTGTTTTTCCGATGTTGTGTAGAGCTGCGGTAGGCACTGTTACGACCTAAGCCGTAACTAACTAGAAATGATGTTGTAATTAGTTATGGTATCTCCAATGAGGTATTAATCCAAATTACTGAATTAGTTACGATCATCATTTCTATTGATTGGTTGTTATTACAGTATCTCAAAATTTAAAGCATAATTAAAATTAGTTAGGCCATGCAAACAAATATAATTGTTTCTCGTTACCTGGCCGGATATTTTTTTTTAAAAAAGTTATTTTTATACAATATTTTTGCCGGTCGGCCGGGTCTTATTTGCTTGTCCCATGTAATGAGAAATAACTAATTTAATTTGTATGGTTTTATTTGCAATTTTTATTAAATTTAATATTAAATTAAACTCTAATTTAAATTAAATTTTTATAAAAAATTATTTGCAAAATTAGCATATTAAATACTATATATATAATATTAAATTATATTATTATAACATTGTTATTTTTTAATTAATTAAAAGGTTTTTTCATCAATTTTGGATAAACAATTATCGAGATATTATCGCTCAAAGTTTAAGAAAGAACTTAGCTGCAATTTTGTTTTGATAATCTCCTAAATTTTCTTAAACTTTTGAACGATGATATCTTGATAACTACTTATCCAAAATCGATAAAATTTTATTTTAATTCAACGTATAAATCCATAAATTAGTAATTATGGAGATACGTATCCTTGTTGTACATTCCTAACGTAATTTTGTCGTAATACATATTCAGCATTTCTGCATACACGGGCATAATAACGTGCAACATTAGAGAAAGATAGTGCGACTATCCCTTATATTACCTACCGATATGTATACGTACGCACCGATAATCCAATGGCAACTCAATTCAATGACAAGCAAATCTACGTGCAAGACAGTTTAAGTGATAGGCATTTAATATAAAATTGGTCACATACGTACTTAAACGGGTTAAATTTTATATTCGAGAACCTCCGAAAATTTTTAATATGATAAGGTGGTGATACCGGAAAATTTAGGCTTATTATAGGTGCCAAGAGATTAACGTCAAAGAAAATCCAAACTTGTATATCACTGCATTTCATATCTCCGTTAAGTTCCGAACAATATAACTATATTAAGCGAATAATGAACATAACGATAAGCAGATGCATTAATTTTCAATGTAGTACTGAATTAGGCCAGAGAAAATGACAAAAAAATAGACAAAGATTCGGAAAGGTGACAATAGCTAATTTGGAATTGACTGCGCCACACGTCACACTTTGGGTCGCGTTCAGGATTTTTGATATCCATTCTAATGTTGTAATGATTGCGAACGATAACAAAGACGAAATTCGAAATGGTTAATCCTTATTAAGAACAAAGTTATTTAATTAAGAACAAAGATAAAGAACAAAGACATTAATAATGAGCTTAAATATTTACCCCAAGGACGCCTTTTATATAATAACAATAATTTCGCTTTTATTTTCTCTAACAGGAATCTTATTTTGCATACTGTTATAGATAGCTTTCACATTCGAAAACAGTATTTGATTTCTTGTTTCGAATTTGTTTGTATCATATTCACAATAATTAATAATCAAGGTTTCTTTTGTTAGTATAATTTTTTCACAGCCTTATTATAACCTTTGGATTTCAAGAACACACAATTTAGACGAGAATTGCTACCGCCGAAAATCTCAATGTGAGATGAAACCTAAGAATTTTAGATTTCGAAAATGCTATGTGCTTACTGTTAATAATAATAATAGTAATAATAATAATACGTAATAATAATAATTATAATAATAATACGTAATAGTCAAAAGTAATTTTTTTAAAAATTTTTTTTTTGTAGATTTTTTATTTTTTTATTTAGGACTTATAACAGAAATATAACAAAAGAAAGTTAGAAATATCCCGGATACATGTCACTTTTTTTGTTAAATTGAATACATCATAATAAATAAATGTTGTATACTATTTAATGCCTAGGGCAATTTTATTCCTCATATAAAAAAAACCAATTATTACTTTTTTAATCAAAACTTTTTTTTTAAAAAAAAAAATAAATTCTAAAGTTTTGATTAATTTTAACTATGCTAATTCTAATAATAGTGCTTCGTATATTACATGATGGGTAAACTTGCTCTAAGCGACACATTGAATTATGAAGGGAAAAAAAAGAATGCTTGTACGTTCATATTGTATGTAAAAAAAAAAATACAACTATAATAAATAAATAAATAACACAGATCTATCTAAAAATCATATGCAAATAATATTATATATAATGATTAATAGATAATCTTTTGAAAAGTTGTTGTTATATAAAGAAAATTACACTTTAAATAATAATTGAATTATGTACAATGAAAAAAATCAATAACAATAATAAATAAAGAATGAAGTCTGAATTCACATGGTTAATTTATATAATAAGCACTTTCATCAATTATTTGATTCTGTCCACCTTGATAATATGGTGGAGCAGTAACTGGGGGTCTTGTTGGAGGTGGATGATGTTGTTTTCTTGAAGAATTTTGTGGTGGCAATTGAGTATAAACAACTGGTTGACCAGATGGAGGAGGACCGTAAGGAGGAGGATATCTACTGTTATTGACGCTTGCGTTAAGATTCATGATGGTATTCCCGGTTGGCATACGAGGTGTGGGGGCTAAAATCACACCAGCTTTACCTTGTTTCTTCATATTAATAGGTAATGCAGGAAGAGGTGCAAGGCGGATTGGCGGTGAGTTTGGTGCAACATATATAGGATTTTGTTGATTATAAAGAATTTGTTGTTGTTGTTGTTGATGAGCTATAGCCAAACGTTGCATGTTTTGTTGAAGTAATATATCGGTATTGCTTATCATGGAAGGATCTATGTCTTCCTCATCTTCATAACCATATGAATAAAATTGATCATCATTTGAAGTATAATTATTAATTATATGATTAGTTGTTGAACTATAAGCTTTTTTAGAGAGAAGAGCTAAGTCATCTACTGATGAGGAATTGTATAAAGTTTTATGTTGTGCTAATTCACCATTTATTTTATTTTTATAATGTGGATTAGGAACTTCAGGATATGATGGTGGTAATTGTTGAGAGTCTGGATCGGTAATAATTTTTAACGAATTTTGTGATGGACGACTAGAATGAGAATAAATAGAACCTTTTTCAGCTTGTTCAATTGGATTTAAATATATTGCAGTTCCAATTCCACGGTCATATTCATCCGTAATATAAGCATCAGTGGCTGTATCGTTAAGTTCTTCGGGAGATTTATTTCTTTGATAAGTTGGAGCAACATCGGAATGAGAAGAAGATTGACCGTTACTTTGTTGTTGATCAAAAACATTTGTAACTCTTATACTTTCTTCTACTTGAAAATCGTTATCAGCACCCCATAAACAAAACTTTACAATAAGTTGATGATTAATGCTGACATAACGCCCGGAATAAGTCGATTGAACGTTACGCGGAACAAATAGATTAATAGTATGCGTGCATTCACCATCAAAATCAGCGGAAGATTGTTGATTATATTTAAGATCTTGACGTGGAACTAATAAAGAAGTAGCAACTTCTTTGACATGACGTGTTTCACTTGGAATACTACATCTAAAATCCATGCAAGTTTTTAAAGCAATCTCAATTCTTTCGACACTAACACCTGGTTTTACGAAACGAATTCTCATAGGGATAGAAACATAAGCTCCAGGATTAAAATTTTTTTTCGGAGGTAAACTAAAGAGATAATCGATACCACTTCTGGATTCACCACGTAATTTATAAGGAACATTATCAGAGCCACTTAAAATTAAAGTTCTTTTTAAATGGCATTTAACTTCAACAACTTGAGTTGAAGCTGATAATACCAAACTTCCTTTACGAGTGATAACAGCACGAATAATATATTCAATGTTTCCAATCTCGGTTTCAATTGTATCGGGTAGATTAGGAGGAAGTTTGATTTTGAATGGAATTTCTAAATTCATAATACCACCCTCAGTGCTGTCAGTTTTCCAAACTTCTTCCATTAGATCGACGATGGTATGTTCACCCGAGTAAACAGCTTTTGACCTAGCTTGAGCTTTATACCAAGTTGTTTTTTCAATACCTTTAAAATTAAGGGAAACACTCTTAATTTGCTGAGGTTTTCCATAATTAAAATGTAATGTTCCCATTACATAACTATCTGAATCTCCGAGAGTTCCTTTTTGAAAACTATTAAAACCAGCTGCATAAGAAAATGATACGCCTTTTGCAGATTTTATATAGTCGTTCGATTGAGGACGATTTTTCATGGACATATTCGTTAAGTCTTAAGTCTAACGTTGGTGTGTATTATTTTATAATTATTATTATTATTTTTTTCTTGTATAGAATAATTAACCTTTTCTAAATTAATTAATAAAAAAAATTTTTTTTTTGTTTTCGTTTTTAAAAGAAAGTATATGTGCGAAAGGTCGTGTTATATATAAAATCTACTATAACGCCAACGCGACTTTTGTGGCTAATTTTATGATGTGAATAGGGGCTTTTATATAAAGGAGGGAATGCGTTAGGGACGGTTGGATGAGCGGAATGCAGAAGAGGTGACCTGGTCTTATAAAAGAAGTATTACACACATTAGACTATATATGCTTAACTTTTTCGGAAAATAGAAAACCTGTGTTTACGTGTCACTAACGTGTCCTTTCAATTTTAGTAAACAAAGTAAATGATAAAACAAAGGTACAGTTCATACGAAACATACCGAATACGTACAATGCACAAAATTTACGCCTAGTTATCGTTACCTATGCTACATTTTACTTATGTGTTACGTATCATTATGTATTACAATTTCGTTTCTTGGCGATTTTTTAATTTTCCGATTATCATTTTAGGGATGTTAACTGAATATCATATGACTCTGAAAATATCACACAAGTTTTTGACTGTTATTAATTATCAATATTGTTGTACCTAGAATTGGAAGTTACAGAAATATCGATGTTTATAATTGATATATTACCGTAAGACACAATGAAAAATACCCCTTAATTTACTATTGAATCAGGCCACTTTTATTTGTAATGGATAGGTTTCAATGGCATTTAATATGGGTTGTTGCCCAGCAAAACCATGCTTAGAGTATATATTCTAAGCATGGTTTTGCTGGGCAACAACCCATATGTTATTTTTAAGACCTAATAATCCTAGCGTTATTTCTTTTTCTTTTTCTTCTTTTTAATATATTAAGAATAGGTACGTTGTTATAAAATGTTTAGTGTTTAAAGTGTTTAAGTGTTCTGAAGCATAAATACCATTACATCACCGTTAAAAACATTGTCACAAATAAGCTGCATCGTTTATATTAAAAAAACAATATTACATTACACCGCACTCCCATGTTATATACCTATTCCTTATAATATGCAGGGGTAAATATCATGTGAAGTGTATATGTACTATCGCTGTCTTAGTTTTTAGGATATTTTTGTGTCACATTCAACGAAATTAGCGTTGGCGGGTAAAATCCGATGATGATCACGATCAAAAATATTTGGAAATTGATGTGCCAATAAGGCTTTATCTCATTTAAACATTATCAATCACTAAACGAATCATCCAATAATCCTGAAATCTTAAAAACAAAAATATTCATTTCGTACAAATTTTAAAGAATTTGAGTTCGCGATTACGTCATCTAACGTGCTTAATTTTACGCGTGAATATAAATACTTGGATAAAATTTCATTTACTGCCCTTCTATGCAATCTTATCATGCAATCTTATCATGCAATCTTACCATGCAATATTATCACGGGATAGTCTCGATAAATACTGTATACACTAATTCTTTGTTAAGAAATTTTGTTTTTATTATCTAAATAAAAATGGTTAGAATTTAGATAACTTTAAAATATACAGTAGATTAAGCAACAATAGTTTTGTATCAAGCTATCACTTATCTAAAATTTTCTGATCCTCTGCATCTAAACTTTCAAGCTATCTATCTGCATTGAGCTTAAATATCGGGCTAGACCGGTATTTTCAAAATATGCGCGGCAGACTTTGGTTCGTCTTGGATATGATAAAATTTCATGACCCATCTAAGTAATTTGTTATCAAATATCTTAGTCATGTTTTTTTGATAATGCATTCTGATAATGGTGATATACGTAAAAAATTCCATAATTATGGTTTATTGTAGAACAATTAATGTTTATCGGTTATTTACTTACTTGTATCTAGAACCAATCGGTTTAATTCATCTTTTTTAGAATGGCATACGTATTAAAATGGTAAAAAACCCTGCATACCCTTCTTTTTGGAATTGAAAATGTATACAGCTTACATGTATTACGATGCATTTCTACATTATAATTAGTGAAGAGAACCAATTAATTGAACATAAAGTTAGAAATCCGGTACCTTACAAGATTTTTTTTATCTACTTTTTTGTATCCTAAAATCAAATATTTTCTGATAACATTTGGCATGTATTCATGTACGTACCTATCGCAATAATCGCTATCGCAATGATCGCTATAGCTAATGTTAACGTTAGTTCAAAATATAGTAAATGTTAGCGTTAATTCAAAATTTCCTTTACTAAAACATTGATTTGTATTACTGGTTAGCATTAGTATTAGTCGATTTAAAAAATTATCAAAACAATTTACAGTTACAGTCGTACTATATTTTAAAAGTTCTTGTATTTAAAATACTCCTGAAATTGCACATTATGTATTTAATAATTTCAAGGACTTTATTTCCGGTGTGACTTTATGATAATATGCTCCAAGAAAAAATAATTATCGCTGATTCTCATAATTGATAGTGTTGCCAGGCCACCATTTTTTATTTTTTTTTTTGAAAGTTATATGAAAAATTTCGTTTATCTTCATGCTAACAGTGGAGGTTATATGAACTAAATGTTGCATGTTTATCTATTCAGTCTTCAATATAGATCTCTTTTGCTTTTTAATTTTTTAAGATCTTGATAGCAAAACAATAACAAATATCGATATAATCGATATATATATATATTCGTATGACCTTAAGCTAACCTTAATTGATTTGACAGAAATTTTATTCTAACGTATAACAAAAAATGTGTTTGTAAAATTTGAAATAAGAGAAACTCAAATTCAAATTCGTAATATATAATCGAAATAAATTAATGTAATTTGGTTACAAATAATTTCATTCTAACAATGAATTAATATTATTTTTTGCCTATTTACTGTTTTTTTTAAAACATGTGCTTGTGTATAAACATACAAATCTATACTAAAAATATTAAACGTTTAACATTTTTATTTATTTAATTAATATTTGTTTGCATGCATAAGTTACCTTTTAAGCATTAACGGACAATTTTTAATGTCTTAACAAGGTTAATTTTTATTTAATAAAAAACCTACAAATATTAATAAAAAATTTACCAAATTAATTTTAATTTTCAATTGCTATAAAACTCATATATGTTCTTTACACTTATTATTTATTATTTTTCTAAGTTTTGTTTATAAAATTTTAACACGAGATTTACATTAGAGTTAGTAATTTAGAAAGGTTTTTAGATATTATTGTATACATAGGTGTAAAAACAATTATGTGCATTTTAATAAAAGTTTAAATTTTGGAACTGTAATTCTCCGCTAGTCAAAATAAAAAATCTCACTAGTTGAAGTTATACTAATTGACTGTCGAATGTGCTGAACGTACACAGTTTTTGACGGCATTCTGCCAGTATTTTGCCAATATTCGGCCAGCTAACTGGCCGAATATTAACTTAACTTGCAGAATGCTTGTAAAATATTGTCAGAAATAAGTATACATTCGGCAGTCCATCAATGTAATTTCAACTAGAGTGAACTGATACTGATTTTTTCATTTAACTAGTGCTCATATTTTGGTATTAATATCTTCTAGTAAGATTTTTAATAAAAATTATAAATATTTAAATTTTACAGATTTATAGAACTCAAATAAAAATTTATAGTAATTAGATAGTTGTTAAGATAATTTTGAAGTTTTAAAAAGAATCAAAATATATATTAGAATTAAGTTATATTAATCTTTTCAAAATTATCTAATTAAAAATTTGATAAAAAAAGCTAAAATCAAACCAATTTTTTAAACTTTTATACAAATACTTTTAACAGCTCTATTCAAATTTGATAAAAATTTTTTATTTCGATTCTGTGAATCTATAGAATAAAATAAAAAAATATTTATAACAAGTATTTAGTAGATATTTATTAGATATAAGATATGTTGGAATACAAGTACTTAAAGGACTTATAAAAAATTTAAAAATAAGGACTTGCTTGCTTCAATTTTCTGATACTTTATTTAAAGCTTAAACTAAAATTTGGAACACTTGAAGAACAAGGAGCCCAGCAATCATCACATCACATGAATTCATGAAATTACATCATTTGTTTACTAGCACTAAACAAATTAGCCTAAACTAACCTATCACCTAACCCTAACCCTAACGTAGGCCGAACACTTAATCATGTGAAGTGATTATTACGAAGATATCACCGGGTTCCTTTGATCTAGTGTTACAAATCGGACTTATAACAGAAAAATTTCCGAGATTTTAATTCCCTATTGATCATAATTTTCAATCAATAACGTCTATATTTTATTCGAAATCTTTAAAATTTTCCAAGAATCGAATAATCCACTAGAATCGGCGATATCATGATCTGCAGAGGTCACAACTTTTTGCAAACCGCCATAATCTTAATTTTGTAGATTTAAAAAAATAAAAGCTACATTACTTTTTATTTAAATTTTAAACAAGATTTTTAACATTTACTTGTACAAACTCAATAAAATTTTTATTTTAGCTCTATGAATCTACAGAATTAAAATAAAAATTTTTTATCAAATTTAAATAGGTGTTGAGAATTTTTTTTTTTTTTGAACCCTTTCCAGAAGGGACGCCAATTGGCGTAATTTATTCACTCGTTTGCAAAGAATGTACAAGGTGTTGAGAATTTTATTTAAAGTTCAAAACAAATTGGCTACATTTTAGCAAATTCTATTTATTCATGTAATAAAGTTTAAATTTTGATCGAATTTAGTTAAGTGAATGTTGAGTAACCTTCGCTCAAAGTTTAAATACCTACTAAAAAAAGCGGGAAGATTGAAGAACAAGTACCCCAGAGATATATTCGTGATAATCACATCTCCTGATTAAGTGTTCGGCCTACGTTAGGGTTAGTGTTAGGGTTAGGCAAATTTGGTTAGTGCTGGTAGCACGTCTTGAATGTGTGCCAGGTTAATGGCGCAGTTAGCCTAG